CGCTTTATCATATACTGAACAAACGTACAACTTCTTCATTTATCGCAAGATTTTAGGTTTTAACATTGGTCATATAATAAACTCCAGATCTTTGCTATGAATTGAACGAAATATTTGAATCACCATTTGCTATTAATTATTCCTTGATCGTGAGTTTTCATGATAATATAATCAAAATGAAACCTGTGCTTTAATTTCAAGAAAATACTTGAATAGTTGTTTCCTGTCAATTATTCCCGCATGGAATGTGCCTCGATAGTACTATCAACCACAAATCTTTGCTCTGAATTGAACAAAATACTTGAATGATTGTTTTATATGAAGTATTTCTTAAATATATGCTTCTCGAGGATACAATCAACTAAAAATCTTTGCTTCGAATTTAATAAAATATTTGAATAGTCGTTTAAGATGAATTATATCTTGATCGTTTGTTCCTTGACGATATTCACAACTACAAATCTTTGCTCTGCATTGAACAAAGTATTTGTATAGTCATCTATGTAAACTGCTCCTACAAGGAGTGACGCTAGAAGATATAATCCAATACAAATCTCTGTTTCGAATTGAACAAAATATTTGAATAATCGTTTATTATGAATTATTTCGTGATCGTTTGTTTCTAGGCGATATCATCAACTAGAAATCTTTGCTGTGAATTGAACGAAATATTTAAACAGTTATTTTATGTGAACTGTTTCTTGGAGGAGTGATCCTCGAGGATACAATCAACTACGAATCTTTACTTCGAATGAAACAATGCATTTGAATAGTTGTTTGATATGAATTATTTCTTGATCGTGTTTTCCTGGCCGATATAATCAACTAAACATCATTGCTTCGAATTGAATAAAAGATTTGAATAGTTGTGTCCTATGTAGTATTCCTTGATGGAGTGTTTCTTGATGATATAATCAACTACAAAGCTTTATTCTTAACTGAACAAAATATTTGACTAGTTGTGTCCTATAAAGTATTCCTTGGTGGAGTGTTTCTTGATGATATGATCAACTGCAAAGCTTTATTCTTAACTGAACAAAATATTTGAATAGTCGTTTATTGTGAATTATTTCTTGATGGAGCGTTTCTCGGTAATGTCATCAACTGCAAATTTTTACTTCACATTGAACAAAATACTTGAATAGTTGTTTGATAT